ACACAATACCATAAACTACACATGAACATATACAATATAATAGCTCATATACGCACAAATACAACGATACAAAGCAATTACAGTATAAATAACACAAGCAGAATACGGCAGCATACACACCTCAATTTAAAAAAAATAGGACCGGCACACTACGGGACATCACAATCCTATATCGGCACAGTGCTGCTAAAAGGTTGCCTACCCCTGCCCTAGAAGGCTGTGGTTTATTGTAAGATCTGTGACAAAATCCTACCTGTAAAAGAGTGGTTTGTTACAAACCCTACGTGCTTATTGACCCTTAATAGTGAATACATGGGATGGGCAGCAGCATTGCAACCTAGCTGTGTGATACAAAAGTGAAAAGAAATACAAAGAAACTACTCCTGCGCTCAAATTCCCATTACTCATGGGTGGCAGCAACAACCATAGTACACATCAGCCAAAATACATATAGTAAAAACCAAAGAAAAAAGTTACCTGTGTTTTTTCCACATCCCTATGTATTTTTAAACAAATTGAGATTTTTAGTTACCTCCAATGGCCATGAGAGGGTATGCCCACCTTTTACGCCAAGGCAGACCTGCGCTCAAACTCCCATTACTCCTGGACGGCACTTTTATTGTAAAGTGCCAGTTTACAAAGACATCTCCAAAATTCACATGCAATAAACAAATAAATATAGAACAGTTGTAACAAAATAAGTTAACTATGCAATAAAGTGTGCCACTCTCCCCTCCCTGTCCCTTAGTGTTCCTCTTTCCTCCTCTCCATTTCCATTAGTGTTCCTCTCTCCACCTTACCTGTCTCTTAGTGCCCCCCATTCCCCTTAATGTTCCTCTCCCTTCTCTTTTAGTGATCCCCCCTACTCCAGTGTTCCTTTTCCCTTCTCTGTATCTTAATGCCCTCCCCTTAATGTTCCTCTCTCCCCCTTGGTGTTCCACTCTCCTCCCTCTTTTTTAGTTTTCTTCCCCCCTCCCCTATAGTGTTCTTCCATCCCCTGTCCCATAGTGTTCTTTCCCCCCTCGACCTGTCGTATAGTGTTCTTTCTCCACCTCCCCTGTCCCATAGTGTTCTTCCCCCCATTCCCCATAGTGTGCTTTTCCCCCTCCCCTGTCGCATAGTGTTCTTTCCCCCTCCCCTGTCCCATAGTTGTCTTTCCCCCATTCCCCATAGTGTTCTTCCCCCTTCCCTGTCTCATAGTGTTCTTTCCACCCTCGCCTGTCGCATAGTGTTCTTCCCCCCCGTCCCATAGTGTTCTCCCCCCTCCCCTTCCCTGTCCCATAGTGTTCTCCCCCCCTCCCCTGTCCCATAGTGTTGCTCCCCCCTCCCTGTCCCATGGTGCTCTTTCCCCATCCCATAGTGTTCTCTCCCCCCCTTCCTGTCCCATGGTGTTCTCCCACCCTCCCCTGTCCCCGCCAGTGTTATTTCCCCCATCCCATGGTGTTCTCCTCCCTCCTGTCCCATGGTGTTCTCCCCCCCTCCTGTCCCATAGTGTTCTTTCCCATCCCACTTAGTGTTCTCCCCCCCCCTTCCTGTCCCATAGTGTTCTCCCCGTTCCCTGTCCATGGTGTTCTTCCCCCTTCCTGTCCCATAGTGTTCTCTGTATCTTAATGCCCTCCCCTTAATGTTCCTCTCTCCCCCTTGGTGTTCCACTCTCCTCCCTCTTTTTTAGTTTTCTTCCCCCCTCCCCTATAGTGTTCTTCCATCCCATGTCCCATAGTGTTCTTTCCCCCCTCGACCTGTCGTATAGTGTTCTTTCTCCACCTCCCCTGTCCCATAGTGTTCTTCCCCCCATTCCCCATAGTGTGCTTTTCCCCCTCCCCTGTCGCATAGTGTTCTTTCCCCCTCCCCTGTCCCATAGTTGTCTTTCCCCCATTCCCCATAGTGTTCTTCCCCCTTCCCTGTCTCATAGTGTTCTTTCCACCCTCGCCTGGCGCATAGTGTTCTTCCCCCCCGTCCCATAGTGTTCTCCCCCCTCCCCTTCCCTGTCCCATAGTGTTCTCCCCCCTCCCCTGTCCATAGTGTTCTTTCTCCCATCCATGGTGTTCTCCCCCCTCCCCCTGTCCCGCAGTGCTCTTTCCTGTCCTGGGTGTTCTCTCCCCCTTCCCTGTCCATAGTGTTCTCCACCCTCCTGTCCCATGAGTGTTATTTCCCCATCCATGGTGTTCCCTCCACTCCTGTCCCATGAGTGTTCTCCCCCCACTCCCCTGTCCTTGGTGTTCTTTCCCCATCCCGTAGTGTTTCTCTCCCTTCCCTGTCCCATAGTGTTCCTGTCCCGTTCTTCCCCCTTCCCTGTCCCATAGTGTTCTCCCCCCCTTCCCTGTCCCATAGTGTTCTTTCCCCTCTCCATTGTGCCATAGTGTTCTTTCCCATTCAGAGAGAACAGACAATAATTTTATAGATTTTCCTTCATTTAGTCCCTGCTCAGATCTCAAGCAATTTTTGACTCACAGGTGCCATTACATAGACAACCAATATAGTTTTGTTATATCTGAATGGTCCCTCCCATGAGGGCAGTATGAGTATAAAATATCAGCAAGTTTTCTCTAGATGAGAGATGCAGGAAACCCAGACAATTGCAATAGCAACCTGCGGCAACGCTCTCGCGGATCGCGAGAACAGAGGACCCTGCTGCTGCTGCTGGATGGGAAGCTCACGTAAACGGCCAGTCCCTTTACATAAGACACAGGGGCGGCGAAATTGCCGTCCCTGTGAACGTGCGCCTTGGGCACCCCGTAGTGAGTTGCACCCGGGGCGGACCGCCCCCCAACTGAAAATATAAAAAACAACCACAATTATTTTAGATGTATTTAGCACTGAGCAGTGTTTGTATATTTTTTATGTAAGCATGTTTTTGTATGGAGTATGTGTGAGTGAATGTACGGGTGTGTTTGCACGTATTGGCATTTGAATGCAGGCGTGCATTTTTCTGTAGTGTGCTTTTTGAATATGGTGGTGTGTTTATATGTAGTGTTGACATTTGGATGCAGGGTGGTATTTGTGTGTAGTTTAGGCGAAATGCTGAGATGTATGCACTTACACACATATACTCACATATACACACACTGGCACACATACAGATACACAGACACATAGGTACACACATTCAGTTACATCGAAACACAGTCATACACAGACACAGACAAATACTGACACACATACAGATACAAACACACATACAGACACACAGAGAGACACACAGAGAAACACACAGGTACACATACAGACACATACATACAGATACACAGACACACCAAAACAAACACAGACACACAAACAGATACACATACAGATACACATATATAAGTGTGTGTTTGCGTAGTGAATGCAGTGTGTTTGCGTAGTGAATGCAGTTTGTGTGTATAATGTAGGCAGCTTGTGTGTATAATGTATGCAGTGTGTGTATAATATATGCAGTGTGTGTACAGTGTATGCAGTTTGTGTATAGTGTGTGCAGTGTGTGTATAGTGAATGCAGTGTGTATAGTGAGTGTAGTGTGTATAGTGAATGCAGTGTGTGTATAGTGAGTGCAGTGTGTGTATAGTGTGTGCAGTGTGTATAGTGAATGCAGTGTGTGTATAGTGTGTGCAGTGTGTGTATAGTGAATGCAGTGTGTGTGTGTTGTGTGGAATAAGTGCTGGGAAGGTGAGCAGTGTATATGGTTTGCCCCTCCCCCTCCCCCCCGACACTTACCTGTCCCTTCCGTTCTCCTCGACTGGTGGTCTGGTGGCACGGCTTTAGTTGGGCAGTGAAGAGGGGCCCAGTACTCTCCATGCTCATTTCCCATCCAGCAGCAGCAGGGTCCTCTGTTCTCGCGATCCGCGAGAGCGTTGCCGCAGGTTGCTACGCTTTCGCGGATTGCGAGAACAGAGCACCCTGCTGCTGGATAGGAAACTCACGTAAGCGGCCGGTCCCTTTAAGACACAGGGGTGGTGAAATTGCTGCCCCTGTGAAAGTCCGCCCCCGCCGTCCCCCCTTAGTACGCCACTGGCAGTGATATCATCATATCCTATCATATACTAAAGGAAAGGATGTAATTTTCTTACATATACTTCATTTAACAAAGAATCAGTTTCCATTTAAAACTTGATGAAAGGATCTGTCATAACAAAGTGACCCCAGCACAGAGAATGCCACTCTAAATAGAGAAAGCGGACCTTAGAATGTTCTCCTTTAACATGGTTAGAAAAAGAATAGTCAGAAAATAGCCAAAGTCTAGGAAAACCAGAGATTGGGATAACAATAGGGAATAGCCAAGTCAGGAAAACCAGAAAACAGGATAAACGAGAAAACGTGCCAAGTCAAGGAAACCAGACACGCAGAATAGCTCAAATACAAGCAAAGTGAAAATACCAGTAAAAACGATCAGAAAATACAATAGCACTTCACAATAGGGCACTGAACAAAAGCAAAATGTGCTCTATTTATAGAAGAGCATCTTTTGCTTTAAAACCACACCCACAACCACACCCACAAAGCGTCAGGAGGCATTAAATATTTTTAAATTTTCGCAGTATTGCTACTATGACTTTGGCGCACATGTTGCATGTCATAAAAAGGGACGTGATCAGAGTGTCCTGCGTCTGACATGCCATGCCGATGCCGGGAGGAGTCGGCAATAGGAGACTCACCACGGGGTAGACAGATGCAAGGTAAGGTATCATGACAGGATCAGTGGTACAGACAAAAAACATTCAAAATATGGTATGGTACCTTCAACTATATGTGTGGTATCTTCAACTTTACAGCTACTAGCATTTTTACCTGAGACAAACTATAGATGAAAATTCAGGCTTTATGAAGTGACACTGGCATGATAACTCACTAAAGTGTGAATTGGTGGGAATTAGAGATGTCGCGAACCGTCCGCGAACTAAGACTGATAATTGAAATGTGAATTAAAATCACTTGTCATTCCCACTAGAGATGTCGCGAACTGTCCGCGAACTTCTCGCGAACGGTTCGCCGCGGTTCGTGGCGAACCGTTCGCGGCGAACTCCGGTCAGCTGACACATCCCGGCCAATCTCCAGCAGACCCTCCCTCCCAGACCCTCCTACTTCCTGGACAGCATCCATGTTGAAGGCAGCTTCAACATGGATGCTGTCCAGGAGGTGGGAGGGTCTGGGAGGGAGGGTCTGCCGGAGATTGGCAGGGATGTGTTAGCTGACCGGAGTTCGCCGCGAACGATTCGCCGCGAACCGCGGCAAACCATGGCAAACCATTCGCGAGAAGTTCGCGGACGGTTCGCGACATCTCTAGTGGGAATGACAAGTGATTTTAATTCACATTTCAATTATCAGTCTTACATTTGTTTTCAAAGTATATGTTAGGACTGTATGTAAAGAGGTCCCAAATCTTAGGTCTCAACAATAGTACAATATTAATTGCCTCCATCAATGTACAGTGGAAATGTGAGGTTTTTCATGAATTTTATCCTGATGACAGATCCGGCAATGTTTTGACCCAAGATCGGCTTGAAAAAAACACATCTAGGGTCAAAACGTTGACCGTCAGTCTTATAGGCTGAACTAAACTATTTAGTGTTATACTAATTTACACAATAGACACATTAGAAAAAGTCTCAAATTCAGCTATGCTTTCACTTGAATTCTTTTTGATTTCCTGCATATTCTTACTTTTAAAAATTGAAAACAAATTATCTGCGGTTGAGTCGTCTTATTAGAAGCGGCGTCCCTGCTAAGGGAAACTTCTACCGCGAGGGCTTGAAGTAAATAAGAACTACTAAGCCAAGTAAACAATTACTATATACAACAACGTGGAGATAGCTCCATTTAGAGAAACTCTGGCTTTTTATTTTTCTTTTTTTTGCATGTGTGTGCTGTTTTCTTTTGTATTATACTTCCTGGTTAACATCCAAGCCTCACTACCTGCGCAAAAAAGTAGCAGGTATCAGTTGAACATGTTGATGTGTTTAACTTTTTGTTTAGATCTCAAATCAAAATTTCAAGAGAAGAATGGTGTCGGGTGTTACCCCAAACAACTAAAAATATTTACTGTTTAAACATTATAGAAGTGGTATTTAAGATAATGAACAGGTCGTATTTGGTACCATCTAGGATGACTAAAATGTATAATTCAAACTCCCTGATGTGTTGGAGATGTAACACATACTATGGCTCCTTTTTACATTTATGGTGGGAGTGGGATGATGATGGTTTTTGATGACATTTAGATGTGTATCTTGGAATATCCAAGGGCTTAATTCACCCCAAAAACGGGAGGCTTTGTGTAAATTTTTAAAAGAAAATAACTTGGATATAGCGTTTATCCAAGAAACACTTTGGATATCCTCCCCTGCTAAAATATGGCATTTGAATAATTTACCTGTAGTATATTATGCCAATCTTGAAGGTAATCGTGAAAAAAGGGGAGTAGCTATCGTTTTGTCAAAAAATCTTAAAATTTGAATATATTCATTCTGAAACCGATATAAACGGTAGATTTTTACTCCTAATTGCCAAGATAAATGACACGATATTTACTCTGGTAAAATGATATGCTCCGAACGATTTATCAATGGGTTTCCTGGAGGATTGTGTTCTCAAAATCGATAAGGCTAAGTGTGAAAATCTAATTATAGGAGGCGATTCTAATTGTGTTCCCAACTTAAAACTAGATAAAAGCAACAACAACAATAAATATTGGGATCCAAAAATTAAAACATCTGCCTACACATTTAGTGAATTTTTGTTGAAAAATTCACTTTCCGATTGTTGGAGAACTTTCAATCCAGGATTCAGAGACTAGACTTGTTTTTCTCACGTTCATCAGACCTACTCTCGTATAGATTTTTTTTTAGTTAGACCCAACCTTTTGGAGCAGATTATTGACTCTAAGATTGGCTCAATAATTCTATCAGATCATGCCCCAGTAATTTTAACATAAATTTCCATCTTTTTTCAAAATTAGAAACAAATTGTGACTGAATGAAAGTCTTCTTCAAATAGATAAGGTAACCTCTGAGTTAACTACAGAAATGGACCACTTTATTCAAATTAACGATCATTTGGAGGTCTCTACTTCTACTGGTTTGGTGTACACTTAAAAGTTTCATTAGAGGGGTTCTAATAAAAGCAGGTTCGAGACATAAGAAAAATAAAGAAGACTGTATTTCTAAACTATACATTAAAGCGGCACTGTCATGCCGAACTTACCTTTCCTCAATCTCTTCCTCTTCTCCCCCTCTCTCAGGATCTGTTATTCTTTTCTTCCTGTCTGCTTTAGTTTTCTTTAAAATCATAAGACAAAGTAGGGACTCTTTGCCTTATGGAGGATTCCTCCGCTTGACCAGCTCTGACCAGCGGAGGAGCAAAGTGTGCTTCATTTCCGCTGGTCAGAGCAATTTTCCCATGATATAAAAAAGGGGGGCAGTAAGTGGGAACAAAAGTGCTTAGAATAGTGCAGGCTAGCCACTCCAAATTAGGGATCACTCCCAATCCCAAACAATACAAGCCAATAAATTAGTATAGTTAAAAAACATATACCACCGGGGGCGCCACAATCACACACGTGTAGTTATATTTACCAAATGGTAGACACGAATCGTCATGTAAAGAGATAAGAATAGTACAGTATATCGTGAAGTATTTAATGATACAAATACAAATTATAAAAAATTACACTCACAAAAGTATTGGCACAATAAGGACATACGTCTAAATTGTGCTATGAAAGCTTGTCAGCCCCTTCCTGGGCTAAATTCCCCTTTGCAAAGTGGATCAAATTCTCCAGATTCAGTGGTGGTCAGTCTATATATAGCTGAAGTCCAAGTCTGTAGTGTGGTCCAATAAAAATCTGTGGGGGTGCTGGCAGGCTTCAAACTGCTTGATGCGTTTCGTCTCACCGACTTTTTCAAGAGCTGTGTGTAAGTTCTTTCTTCCGGCTTTTTAAATCCTTCAATTGGCGCGTTCCTCCCATTGCACGCATGCGCACTGCGGCTAGCGTGTCCATACGCGTAGCCGCGCATGCGTGTATATCCAACCTTGGAACGCAAATAACTTTATTGGTCATTTGTGCCGGAACACACTTCCGTATTAGACCACCGGGTCTTACGGACTAGTGTAGGTGCACTCAAAGCAATTGCATATACAGGATTATTTCATTCAACATTACAATAATCATTATAAATGGCTAAAAACAAATATTTTAATTCCTCACATATATATCACGAATGACCAATCAATTGCATTACACATCAGTGGTACAAATAACATTTAAAAGTACAGATCTCAAAAAAAGGGACAATGGTACATGCTAATATAGTATATCTTCTCTATACATACAGAATAAAATTCATATTTTGGATGTCATATAAAATCATCATTTTTCTATTCTTTGAGAGGTATGGCAAAGGCACCATCGGATTCTTATGAAGATCTTCAAAAATCTAAAAATAAGAGTTCTAAAAATTATGAAAATTCCGTTGTTAAAAAATCCTAATTTAAAATGGAAAAAAATGGAAATCAAAATAAGGAATAAAAATTTGAGAGTAAAAATTTGAGAGTAAAAAATACAGTAATCCAAACCTAAATCAGTCCATAAAAACTAATACATCCAAATTTACATTTAACCCTTTTGGGGAAGTTGTTTTGAGTCTATAGATCCACTCAGTTTCTTTCATAGCCAGTGCTTTTTCTATATCTCCCCCTCTCCAATGTGGGGTTATGGTATCTATCCCTATACATCTAAAATCTTGAAAACTAAAATCGGTACAATTTATGCAGTGTCTAGGGACGCTGTGTTTTATATTTCCTCTTTTAATCCCATTAAAGTGTTCCAGAATCCTGATGTGTAGTCTTCTTATTATACGGCCTACGTATTGTATACCACATTTACACTCTAATAAATAGATTACATTTTTTGTTTGACAATTTATAAAATTCTTCATTTTAAAAACTTCTTTTGTGGCAGTGCATATGAATTCTGCTGTTTTCTGTTTTTGAAACCTACATGTGCTGCACTGTCCACATTTAAAAAAGCCTTTAGGTTTTTCTTTAAGAAAATTACTTCCTGAAGTTTCTATTTTCTCAGAGGTATCTATACGTGGTAAAGCGCTGGGAGCTAAAATTGATTTAAAATTCTGAGTTTTTTTATAGATGATCTGCGGTTTACTTGGTAAAATATTAGTTAAAAGTTGATCCTGTTTTAAAATAGGCCAAAACTTTCTAATAGTTTTCTCAACAAGATGTGCCTTACTATTATATCTAGTTAGGAAGGAAATACTGTAGTCTTTATTGTCTTTCTTATACACCTCCTTAGGAACTGTACCAACAAAAATGACTTTAAAGAACAGGTCAAAGTATTAAATAAGAAATTTGAAAAAAGACATTATCCTCAAAAACTGTTGATAGATTCGGAAAAACAGGTAGAAAATAAAGATAGGGTGAAACTTTTAAAAAATTTTAAAAATAAAAAGGTGTATAAGAAAGACAAAATCTGGAAAGGGGAATTCGTGGAAATATTTTCCCTTCTTCCCCTAGAGGAATTTTTGGACCAAAAAGAAGAGGACAAGAAAGATGCCAAAAAGGAGGAGGAAGAGAAGAGGCGGAGGTATCGTAAGATATCAAAGACCTTCGGGAATTGGCTTAGGGCCTTTTGTATACTGGCAAGCATTATTGGTGAAAAGCACCCAGACTGCTGCTCACAGCTGTTCTGCTACCTCGACGTGAATAGGGGATGCATACCGGACATATGGGGGATTAGCATGGTGGAAGTATGACGAACAGTTTCATCAACGTCTAGCGGCGAATCCGTCCATGCGCTGGGACCAAATGGACCTGCCACTATGGATGCAGCTTATGATGGCGCAGAAAAACGCGCCCTTTCCAGGGGCAGCCGGCGCGGCCACGGGGGGTGCAGTGTCGGCGGGACAAAAGAAGGGTTTCTGTTGGTCGTACAACGAGGGACAATGCAAGTGGGGAGCTTCGTGTAGATTCAGACACAAGTGTTCAGGATGCGGTGGGAATCACGGAGCCAATAGATGCTTCAAAAAAGGTAAGCCCAACGCGGGGGGGGAGCAACAGGGGCAACCGCCCCTGCAGCATCCACTGGGGTTGTCACCAGTGAAGGTCGGCGCGATGTTGCCATGGCTAAGGCAATATGCTGATCAGGACGACGCTTAGTTTTTATGGAAGGCTTTCATGGAA